TTAAACGTTTGAGGACTTATTACCACTTACAAATTCAGCGACGAATTAGGCACAAACCCGTAAATTTAGGGGACTATTAGATACTTTTCTCGCGTTTATTATTACTAGGTCGTAACGGTTGTGAGTATTGACTTGTTTGCAGGACCAGTTAGACGAGTCGTAGAAGGCGGCATGAGCTCGACCTGTCCTGTGCTTGTGAATGGTGGGGGAGGAGGAGGTGGGCTTCAAATGTCATTTGCTTATGCTATTATAAATGTGTGAATCTGGAAATTAAACACATTGGTCTGTGCCTGATGTCCTTGTACTCAGACTAGCCTTGATCTTCAATTCCGAAGTTCCAAAATTGGTGGGTTTTTCTTCTTTCTTTTCATCTTTTCTCTTTCTTTTTTTTTCCCGATCCAGATGGGTTCTTTTTTACCTTAAAAAGAATCAGATTGAAAGAACATTTTAGCTTCATTTTCTCTTTAATCTCAAGGTTGATGATAATCATATCAGGTAATTCGGTTGAACAAAGCCGATGGATTTATTGCATTTGATTTTGGTCAATATATATTGAGAATAATGTTCATAAAGTGGAAAGTGCTTTAGATACACGACTAGAAGAATGATGGAAAATTTGTCTGAATGATAATTAAAGTTGTGAGTGTACCTTATATCAGGTGGGGCCAGCTTTGGGTCAGAACCACATGAAACAACTGTTTGTTCCTATTTTTTTTACAACTGTTGGTGGATTCGGTTTTATTGATATTGATTGGTTTGCCTTTTGTGTCAGCTCGGTCAGTTTCTGGCTTTCTGCTTCTTCTCTTTTTCAGTTAAAAAAATAATTTCACTGTCCTCTTAGAAGTAAGAATTCACTTGGAGATCACTATTTTTTTCCCCCCTTTTTAGGGGAATTGCAAAAGGCAGCAAAATACGTTAGATATTTGAATACTTGTTCATTTTTTTTCACTAGTGTGTTGATTGTTTAATTTGTTTTGTTAGTAACCGTTTTGATTGCGTTTGGTTAAGAGTATCGTAGAGGTGGATGATAATGCATTATTTATGTGATATCTCATATTGGTTGTGGAGAAGAACGGACATTATTTTTATATCATATCCCACATTAGTCGGATAGGAGAATGAGCATTATTTCTGTGATATCCCACATTGGTTGGGAAGGAGAACGAAACACTCATAAGGGACAATTGTCAAACGTCAATATCTGCTAACAGTGGACTTAGGCCTTGTTTCAATTGTCAAACGTCAATTAAGACACCTCAAAAACAAGGAGTATATTCACAATTGGGGAATTGACAAAATTCAAACATGATTAAAATTCTTTTTAGTACTTGCGTATATAAAAAAAGTGTTTAAAGTGAGCAACACACATAAAAAGGCATTTAATAACCCCTTGTTTTACTTATTTATTTATGAATAAGTAACGCGTTTAGTCCCTGAATTTTGAAGTTAATATCGGATTTCTAAATCTAGTGTCTAACCGAGCTAGTCAAGTTAGAGCCATTTTATCTTACACAATTGATTTGGGTTCTACCCATTTTGGCAAAGAAGGGAACATAATTTGGCTCTAAGATCATAAAGAATCCCATATCTATGAAGATCTAATGATGAAATCTAAGGCCATCAAACAATGGCTGAAGTAAAAACAAATCAAACAGAGTTTTTTACCATCACCTGCTCCACAGTACTCTTCTTCACAACTCCTCTAGAGCACAGTTCATTATGCAACTCCAATGCCTCCTTGGCTAGTCCTTCATCGGCCAATCCTTCAATGAGAATCATGTACGACGCCTCGGTCGGTATACAGTCTCGGGCAACCATGTACGCCAAGAAATCGATGGCTCGATTGGTTTGTTGAACCTTACAAAGTCCTAACATGATAGAGTTGTATGTGATAGCATTTGGCCTCACACCCATTTCTTCTAAATCATGGAAAAATGCAATTGCTTCATCAATTTTTCCTCCTCTACTCAGTCCTCCGACGAGCGAGGAGTACGTAATTATAGCCGGTTCGAGTCCTTTTCCCTTCATCTCGTCTAGAAATCTAATGGCATCTTCGGTCTTGCCTACCTTTGAGAGCCCATCAATGATAGTGTTGTATGTAATCAATACAGGAGAGCAGCCTTTGCTTCTAAGTTGATTCACTATCTCAGCTGCAACATCTACCTTCCCATCTTTGCACAAAGCTATCAACAGAGTATTATACGTCATAATATCCGGGTAACACCCTCTCGAAACCATGATATTCAAAAACTCAATCGCCCGATCCATCTTCTTCTCTTTACAGAATCCATGAAGCAACGGTTTGTAGCTCAAGGAATTCGGAGTACAGCCATGCCGAGGCATTTTCTCCAAAACATCAATAGCCCTACCAAGCAAGCCCTTTCGGCACAAGAAGTTAATCAAGATATTGAACGTCACAACACTAGGAGAACATCCCTTCCGAACCATATCGCCCAACAGCTTCTCGGCATCCATCCACCGCTTGGTACTACACATGCTACGCAAAATGATATTATAAGTGATCGTATTCGGTTGGCAACCATAAGAAGGCATATGATTCAAGAACTTAATAGCTTCATCCAACCTCCCTTCCTTGCAAATCCCTTTGATAAGAACATTGTAAGTAACAACATCAGGCTTACATCCTTTGTTCCTCATTTCATCCAACAATTTCATTGCCTTCCCAACACCACTTTCCTTGCAAGTTGCTTCAATCAATATAGTGTAAGTTATTACATCAGGATAACACTCACTCTGCAGCTGTCTATCAAGAACATCCATGGCTTGCTTCAACCTCCCACAGCCACAGAGAGTTCGCAAGATTGTATTGTAAGTAACAACATCAGGAGAGACACTCATTCGTTCAAAAAGTTTCAAAGCACTGCCAATTTCACCAGATTTACAGTAACCACTAATTAGAATATTGTAAGTTCTAACATCAAGAACAGCCCTCGAATCTTTCAAAATTTCCATAACCCGAGTGGCCTTCCTAATCTTCCCAGTCTTACACAAATCACGAATCAAAATAGTGCAGGCATTTATATCAGGAATTTCACCACGAAAGAACATATCCTCAAGAAATTTAAACCCGTTTTCTAATTCCCCATTTCTTACCAGTAAACGAAGATGATTATTGTTCTCGAATCCCTCGAAACTCTGCGAATGATTCGAAGCAGATGAAGAGGAATTGGCGCCGTTCAAATGGCCATGTTGTAATCTAAGCGTATCGACTCTCGAAACCGCACGAACAATGTTGAGATGTTTAGTAATCGAAGAAATCGGTTCCTCGGAATCATCGGAAGGAATAACGAGGAAGCGAGATTTTCCTTTTGCTCCTACATGAAGCCTCAAAGAATTGGCCTCCGATGTAACCAATTGCTTGGCCCTAACTTCACGGCCGCGAATTTTGGCGCTGTGGCGCTGAAACAAACAGAATCCATCTGTATAATTCTTTGCAGGCAAGGTTAAATCCATAATCTTCCTTCAACTTACGGTGAGCGTAACAATGGAACAGGGGAAAATGGAGGCGACTTAATGGCGCGGCGGCGGGTTTGCTTATCCAGTTTGTGAGCCTGCGTTCGTCTCTGAAGCGGAGGCGGCCGCATGAATAGGAAGCGCAGCGCTCGGTGGCCCAATCCATAGCAGTGGGCTTCCTGCTGATGCAATCTCGCTTATCTTCCCTCCAAAAGCCCTTTTTTTTTTCTTTTTTTTTCCCTCTCTTTTATATATTTTAAAATAATTATTCGCCGTAAAATAAAAATAAGTAAATTAGTATGAAATTAGTATAAATCCATCCAAGAGAATAAATCTTAATTTAAAATTTAGATTCGACATTTGATGACCTCTCCCGAGCACACGTGTTTTAAAAATCTTAAGGGAAAACTCCAAAGGGAAACTACAAAGAGAACAATATCGGTTAGCAATGAACTTAGCTACTACAAATAGTATCAGAGCCAAACACTAAACGATGTGTCAACGAAAAAGAATGGGAGTGGACACCGGGCAGTGTAGCAGCAAGAATGTTGGGTCTCGAAAGAGGGTGGATTGTGAGATCCTAGCAGACACGTTTTATTATTCCGAAGATAAATTTAATATTTAGATTAAAAGCTTTAATAAAAATTAAAGTTTACTTTAAAAAAAAAAACAAAAGGTTTAAAAGGTGGGGGAATAAGTGCTTCATTCAAAACACAAAAGAATAAATAAATAAATAAATAAATAAATAAATAAATATATATATATATATATATATATATATATATATATATATATATATATATA